CAGTAGAGTGATGGTCTGCATTGTGCGCGATGTCATTCGACGTTCTCCTCAGTGTGTGTCCAGTTAATCTCAGTTAGCTTCATCGTATTTGTTGAGCAGTAGGTTGTTGGTTGATTTGTTCCCTAGAGTTTCTTGTGGCTAATTCTTTCTGGATGGCCATCTGATTTCAGTATGGAGCCAGAGAAGGCAGTGGCCTGTTGGAAATGGTTTTGATGACGCGCTGGTCAAGTTTCTGACCGACACAGAGGAATTGATTGAATTAAGATTGGTGTTGAAAATCGGAATTTTGTAGTTTATGCTGAGTTCAGTGCAGCCTGACCGATAGCTGCTACCTTGACGTGATGGTGGTCGAGCTTGCACATCGCAATGACCCAACAAGCTATACTGGCTGGAACTATTGTTCCTGCAGGTCCTACCATGCCAGGAAGGTTGTTAGGATAGCGATTAGACTAAAAGAAGTTACTGGCATGGTGTAACAACTTTTTTGCTGGGGGTCTGTGGGCGAAGTCGTACTGCTGGGGAATAGGGATGTAACAGCAGTGAGGTGTTTCCCTCAGATGACCAGCATGCTAGCCAGCTATGCTGTCTCTCCACCCTGGAGAGAGAGGGTTAGAAAAGGTCAACCCAAAAAATTGTACATCCCGACTTACCCTATGGTGGTCTTTAACCGGCGGTCAGTTTACTAATACGAAACCAAACCAAGAAACCAGTTCATACAGGTCGTGTGTGACCGGCCAGCCTCAAGCAGTTGTCCCCTGCGCTCTGTGGTCACGCAACACTAACCCTCTTTCTACTTCAGGTACTCGAAGTATCAATCAACTTCCACGGTGTGGGCAGCCGATAAGTAACAGCTGCCCACACACTTCCAAGAGCACACGAAGCCTCCCTAAGCATCATTCTCCTTTACCCTCATCACCTTCATCATCTTACTCCCCTAATACAGGCTGGTGAGGCATCTTCATTTTACTCTGTGACCACAAACAACGGTGAGAGCCATAGAAACACCCCGATAGCCTCTTAAAGCCACGTCGCAAACTTCATATAGGGACTTTCAACGTCAGTGCGGAAGATTTGCAAACCGATTTCAGAGTGATGAAGGTCTACCTTAAATTTCTCGATTTTGGTTTTGACGTCCTCATTTGTACTGCCTGTAATTAAAACAGTGCCGCCTAGATAAGTGAGAAAAGTAACCTCTTTCACATTCGTTCCATCCAGTGTATATCTTTAGGTCATTACGATATGCAAGCTCGACCATCCGATATTAAGGTATTAGCTATCTGTAGGAAGTTTCCAGTACAAGGCGAGTTCGTACACCATTCAGCTACTAGGACCTGATCAAATGGCCCATGAATTTCAACTTCTGCCAATTTGTGGCTGATTGATCTACGAGGTTGCTTTGTAGCCAGAAGGTCCTGAGTTTGAACCCCAGTGAGTGCATACTTCTGAGAAGTCCTGAACTAGTATGAAACAGCTACCCAGTACTCCTAGCTGGTTTTCCAGTGGTTCTCTAACAGATGTCAGCTCATGTTTAAATCATGTAACCAATCAAACAAAAATCCCTACAAACCAATACTTGAATATCAATGAGATGCTCACTAGCTACTGGCTCTACTCAGTTAGGTAATCACATGGGGTTCTGATGGAGAAGTCGTGACCAGTAGGGTGCAGCATGTTAGGATATGAGGACAAATACTGGCCAAAGACAATTGGTTAGCGGTCGCACTATGTTGTGAATTGGCAGAAGAATAGTTTTTTTTTAATTGAAAATTATTTTGTGTGTAAAACATCTAATCATGTGAATGTACTTTTTTTTGTAACTATCATGTTCTTTTTTCTCTATTCTCAAGGCATTTTTTTTATATTTTTAATCTTCTTTTTCAGTTATATGCCCCGCCAAAAAAATTCAATATTATATTCATTTTACATCTTTGTATAGCATTTGTACTTTGTTATGCGTATGCTTACATTTGCTTATGTCTGTGTATTTCTGTATCTATGTGTGTATGTGCTTGTGTGTGTGTGTGTGTGTTTGTCCCGCGTTTGCATTAGGCCTAGCCAACCCACTTTGTGTGTATGTGTATTTTTTCAACTTCTTGGGGGGAGTTTATAACCTATGGAAAGCATGCGGCTGATGTAACCCATTATTTACGCATTGGTGTTTGTGTGAGCTTAAAATAGTAGTGTATACTGTGTATGCGATTCCTTCTGCTCTGATAGCTTATCATGGCTTTTTGACTATTTTAAGGCGTGTACTGTTTGTTTGTGTGTGTGTGAGTATTGCCTTTTAGTGTTCTGTTAGCTACTTCCTATAGTTCATTCGTCATCTTTTTAGACTAAGATTGTGAATTGAGGAAAACACAATCTGACATTTTTGGCTAGCTAAAGGTCCTGGGTGTTCGATCGTTGACTGGGTCATGAGTGAGTACTGCTGAAGAGTCACAAACATGGACGACGTATATGTTCTGTGCTCCTCCCCCCTCCTCGGGTTTTCAATGTTTCTCTAGCTAAAGTCAGTTGATAGTCATATAAACGTTTCTGTCCTGGAACTAACATGGCTAAGATCAAGCATGTAATTCTAAGGTATAGGATCCCTGAGGCCTATCAGCTGAAAGTCAAGTTCCCCCCATGTGACAATATAATTTACTTTGAATCAGATAATGTAAATTGCATGAAGGAGCCGATTTCTAGATCATTATTATTATTGTTTCCTTTAATTCCTAGAGGAACATAGGACTTCACCCGTGCGTCTCCATTGCGTTCGGTTCTCTGCTACAGTCTTCACCTGGCTCCAAGTCTGCCCACACGTTTTCATCTCCTCTTCACATGACCTCCTCCAAGTCACCCTTGCACTGATGACCAACTCGCCGCTTCCCATTCTACCGGGTTCCACTCGAGCAATGGCTTGTCTAGTGATGTCACTTGATGGTTTCCTCAGAGTATAGTCAATCCATCTCCATTTCTTCCTGCCTATTTGTTTCACAATCGGCTCCTACTGGGTTGGTTCGCTCATTGCCAGAGATCCCACCTGTTGCTGATCTTTTCTGGCCGGCCATCTGATCTTGACTAGTATTGAGCGAAGACAACTAGCTGTTGATGAAGGTCTGTAGTTTGTTTGAGATGCTCTTCATGACGCGCAGTGCAAGTCTCTGATCCGTATAGTGAGTAGCACTGACTTCACATTGGAGTTGAAAATCCGGATGTTATTTTTGATGCTGAGTGCTGTTGACCTCCACACAGACTTGAGAGTAGTGGAAGCTTGTCTTGCTTTCCCGATTCTTGCTTTGATATCCTCGTCAGTTCCGCCTGTAGTTGAAACGATGCTTTCCTCCATTTATGCTGATTGTTGTCTGTTGTTGTTGCTGTTGGTGTTGGCCAGGAATCTTCATCACCTGTGTTTTCTCTATGTTCACCTGAAGTCCTATCTTCTCTGGATGCTTCTTCTGCCAACTTGTTGCTTTTCGCTTGCATATCTTCCAGTTTGTGGGAAATCAGACATATATCCTTGGCGAAGTCCAGATTATATCTGATATCTACTCTAAACTGGGGTAGTCTATAAGTAATGTTAACTAGTGGATGGTGACTAGCAGTGGAATCCAGGATGCATATTTCGTCCTATTTGTGACATAGGGCGTCAAGCTAGAGGCTTGAAGTTTCTTTGACAGTGGTATTTATTTTTACTGGATGAAGTTGCTAGCCTCATGCCCTCATGCCCAACCTCTTTACCAGTCTCATTGACTGACTGGTTTCAACAGAAAACTTTGCACCGATGGGCAGTAGTTCAAGTTGCCACACTCCCTCCATGTAGCACACAAAGCAAGGGAAGAAAGTAAAAATAAATGCAAAATAGAGACAGTAGGCAGAGATATAAGGCAAAAAGAGTAATAATAACGAATAACAATATAGTTTTATTGGATGCATCTGCGCCAGCTATTGAGAACGATTTTGAGCCATATCACCAATTGTCTCCAGTCTTCATTGGCTTTTACCGTCCCGAGGACCCCAACTAGGAAGCCAGTCTACACCTTCCTACGTGACTAGCTTAAACCAACTTTTGTGGATTTGATTGACTGATGAAGCCATATTTTGGTTTGATCACCACTGGCTCTTTTTCAACCAAAGCGGCCCTATGTCAGCTAATATTTACTGTTGGTCGACGAAGGCGATAGCTAGGAATGTATGTGTAAGACATGTCCTAACCATCTCAATCAATGTAACCTCACAACCTCGTCTGTTGATTTCCCCTCCTTACCTAGCACTCGACCTACACCTAACCTCAATATTGCTCACTCTATTATACCATTTCACACGGGAGATAAAACACAGGGTTACTACTGGCTTAGCGAGGTAAAGGAGTGCATCAGTGGCCGGGGATCGAACCCACGACCACATTATTATTATTGTTTCCTTTAATTCCTAGAGGAACATACGGCTTCAGCCGTGCGTCCCCATTGAGTTCGGTTCTCTGCTAGAGTCTTCACCTGGCTCCAAGTCTGCCCACACGTTTTCATCTCCTCTTTACATAACCTCCTCCAAGTCACCCTTGCACTGACGACCAACTCGCCGCTTCCCTTTCGGGTTCCATACGAGCGATGGCTTGTCTAGTGATATCACTTGATGGTTATCGCTTATATATGCTTATGTATAACTATTTAAAAATTCTTTATCTCAGAGTAATGAGTTGTTTTTGCTTATACTTGGCTTATATGCTGTTTAACTGTTGATTGCTGTTGAAGTGTGCTCTATCGCTGTATCTATCGCTCATTGTCTGCTTCATCGACATTATTAATGCTTATAACACACTAGTGTTAACTAAACTGTACGCAGTCTATATAAATGTACATTATCGGTGTATTCACTGTACTATTTTGTTGTTCATCATTTTGCTTTATATTATACAATGAAATTAATTTGGTGCTCATTTTTTAAACTATTCCCTATTCCTTACAACTATTCCATATAGATTGCCTAATTCTATTCTCTTTTTATTCTCTATTCCATAGGTACTAATATAACAAAAAATAATTCACGTGCTGAATCCTATTCACGAAGACATGTTAATTCGAATAAAAATCATACTGGTCAAGCGTCGACTAATTCACGCGACAGTTCATTAGCTGTTCCACGTTCTAAGAATACTACAAGAAATCGTTTAAAAAGTCCACAGACTAATCGTCTTAGTTCATCGTCAACTGCATTAAATAGTCAAAGTTCAGGCGGTGGGGGTGGTGGTGGCGCAACACAAATTAGGTAAATTTGACTGACATACGATTCTTTACTTCTAATTTTGGTGATAGGACATAATTGTCTCATGTAGGGTTCTCAACTCATCCCATCCCCCCTAATCTTTTAAGTGAGTCGATTAAGCTACTTCATTGGGGGGTGGGGGGCAGTGAGAGAAGGGTATACTGTATCCAGGAGATTAAATCAATGGTGTTAAATGGGTGGAGTGTCAGCAGTAGGTGATCTGATAAGCTTATACACCACGTGTCCCATTGGCTTCAGTGATAGACTTCTCTATGAGTCCAGGATCCAAATCTTTCTTCCTCTCTCTGTGTGTATTTACTTCAACCTGGGCAACTGGCTAGTGTGTTTAATAATCACACATTGAATGTGGTTCATTTCTTAGTTTCTAAAAGATCTATTCGAGGTGACTGAGTATAGACGAGTGATATCAACATTGTATTAGTGGGGATCTGTATTATTTTCTATTATTCCCTTGGGTTCCAATTGGAACATAGGGCTTCAGCACCACGTCTCCACTTTGTCCTGTTCTCTAAAGTCCTCTTTAGCTGGTCTCATGATTGTCCGTTGTCTGTGATCTCACCCTCCATGTCACCCTTGAGTTCCAGTCGAGCGATGACCTACATTGAGCGTGATGTCATTCGACGATCTCCTCAGTGTGTATACCCAATCCATCTCCACTTTCTTCGTCATATTTGTTGCCTAATAGGTTCTTGAATCTTTTCTAGGCTTAGTTTCTTGTTGCTAATTGTTTGAAGCCGACCAGCTAGTCCTTCTAAATAGAGTCAGCGAAGGTAGCAGCTGTTGATAACAGTCTGCTGTAGCATGTTGTGAAAGCTTTTGTTGACGCGCTGGCCAAGTTCCTGATCCATGTAGAAGAAGTGGCTGACTTGACATCGGTGCTGAAAATCCGAATTTTGTTGTCCGTGCTGAGTTCAGTGCAGAAGATTTCCAAGCTAATTTCAAAGTAGCGAAAATATTCATTCAGACATTTACAAAACAAAATAATTGAACAAAGAATATCCTTTTCGATAATTTCCTCCTTTTCGGCCTCTACAATCATATATGCATGTTTATATACATAGAATATTCCAGAATAATATTCAATAACAAGATTAGTGCTTTTGAAATAATATCGATTTGTAAAGTAAGATCACGATGGAATTACAGTTCATTAAAGATGCTTAAATTACAATAATAACAAAATTATGATAACAAATAGAATATCAACTAAAATTAGGGAAATTTCTAGAAAAATTCAGGATCATTCGAACCTAGATGGCCAAGGTAAGGACAATGTCTGAATTAGCTTCTTTTGAACGCACAAATTAGGCTTCTTAGCGTGGATCCCAACGGCCACAGCAATATTTAGTAGACGAACTCTTAAGGCAAAATTAAGATTTGTTGGTATGCGGTAAATGACTGTGAAAGCTGCCTCGTTGACATCAATCTTGTGTTCTGTATCCACAATATGAGATAGAATAGCGCTACGAATATATTTTGTTTGTCCTTTACTTCGCCACTATGCAGGGTGATGTTCGCAAATCCGACGGTAAACATGCCTAATTATACGGTCTATGTAACTGGCTCACTTCACAGGAGCAGTTAAATTGGTAGATACACATGGAAGAGGCGAAATTAGGCAGTTTGTCTTTTACTCCCGAACGCGAAAGAGGAGTGGTTTTGAAGACAGAGCAATTCACCTGCAGGCAATGCTCTTTTTACCCCATTTTTAGGCGTTGTGTTAATATCTCTCTGATGTTGCCCTCAAGGAACTGCATCCGTAAGAAAAATGCCTTTTTCAGGACTGTTTGTGCCTTGGGCTGCTTTGAGTTTAGATTCATATTCTTATCAATAAACTTTTCTGGATAGCCGTTTTCACTCAGCAACCGTCTAATATTATTAAGTTTCTCATCAAGACATTCATCCGAGCAGATTGCTCGTGCTCTGTGAACCAAGCACTTTATCAGATTGCGTTTGTATTTCAATGGCACGACGCTGAAAAAAAATGAGTAATTATGATGCTACTTTGTCTGAGCTTTATCCGTCCCCCTGTTTATTATGGCAGTTTAATTTCTAATTTGAATTTCATTAATCTGACCCTTAACCAGAAATTATTCTGGAACTTTCCTACTTATTTATTATAAATACACAAAGGTACAGCCTAGTTGATGATTTCGTCGAAAAGAAAATTTCCGTCACTGCAACTGTCTTTTTATTCCCTATGATCAAATATGTATATTCCGTGATTTGAAAACGAGTATACGGACCCGTTAATGTAGGTTTTTTATATACACCTCTTCTTATTGTGCCATCCTCTTTTCTGGTCATAAGGATGTCTAGAAATGAAATACTAGAGTCTTTTTCTTTCTCATTAGTAAAATTTATTGCCGGATGAACCTCGTTAAATTTATCCAGGAAGTTCTTTGCTTCCTTCTCATTTTCATATTCAAAGTGATGAAGCTCTTCCCTACATTTCCGATTTTGGTTTTGAAATTATGGCTATCTGTACTTGAGTTGTATTTCAGACTAGTATGTTATATTCATATATTGAAAAAAAATGCTACAGTAGCCCTTACAATATTGATTATTGTATAATTTCACGCATTGAATTTTGCTGTTTTATTCCTACACCTTTTTTGTTTTCTCTTATGTCTTATGTCGTCGTGGGTTTAGTGGCTGGGAATGGATATCTCGTCTGCGCTAGATATAATGTTTTGTTGACAAATGGCAAAGGTCTTTTGTATCCGTGCTGAGATTTCATCAGTGATCAGTCCGCTGGGGTTGATGTGACACCCCAAATAAGTGAAGTGATGGTCAACACGCTCCACCAACCACTTCACTCCTGTCTATCTTTAAGCTAGAAGTCAGTCGATGTAGATCAGTCCTGCAGTATCATCTTACATTTGTAAGGAGTGGATGGCATGTCAAACATTCGAAGATTCCTAAGTCGCTAAATTCAGCAAGGGTCAATCCCATTAGTACATCTGTGATAAAGTTAAATAAAAATGGGGGACAGCTGGTATCCATGACGGATACTTGCCATCACTTCAAATGACAACCCTGCATAACTTCTAACAGAGCAGAGTGTCTTGATTAGTGTGATGTCCTTTCTCATTACTGCCTTCACTTTCAGATGATGTTAAAGTATCCCTTGGTCAGCAGAGCGACATGCCGCTTCCAGATGGAGAGCAGCAGCCAGTTAGACGCTTTCATTATTTATTGAATTTGTTTCCACTCTTTATTAATACATCGGTTTCTATTATTATTATATTATTATTGTTCCCTTGGGTTCCTAGTAGAACATAGGGCTTCAACTGCACGCCTCCACTTGCTCCTGTCTTCTGCTGTATTTTTCACTTGCACCCATGTTAATCCATACTGTTTCAATTCCTCTTCACACGATCTCCTCCATGTCACCCTTGGACGTCCCACTCGTCGCTTCCCTTTCGGGTTCCACTCGAGGGCCTGACGCGCGATGTCACCCAGCGGCCTCCTCAGCTCACCGAGTGTCCAATCCATCTCCACTTTCTCCTGCATATTTGTTGAGCGATTGGTTCTTGTTTTGTTTGTTCCCATAGCTTCTTGTTTGTGATTCTTTCCGGTCATCTGATCTTCAGTGTATAGCCAGCGAAGACAGTTGTTGATAAAGGTCTGCAACAGGCTGTTGGAAATATTCTTTGTGACCCGCCAAGTTTCTGATCCGTATAGAAGAACTAACTGACTTCACGTTTGTATTGAAAATCCGAATTGTTGTTGTTGATGCTGAGTGACGAAGATTTCCAGACTGGTTTCAGATTGATGAATGTGTTTCTCGCCTTCCCGATTCTCGATTTGACATCGTCGTCCGTTCCTCCTGTAGTTGAGACAATGCTCCCTAGATAAGTAAGTGAAAGAAGTAACCTCTTTCAAATCCCTTCTGTTGATGGTGATTGGCGCTGGATGTTGCTGATGCTGTTGTTGTTGTTGGTTGGTTATTTTCATAACCTCCATCTTGTCTATGTTCACCTGGAGTCCTGTCTTTGCTGCCAGTCTCTTCGACCAGTTTGTCGGTTTTCGCTTGTAAGTCTTCGATGTTGTGTGACATCAAACATAAATCATCCACGCGCGAAATCCAGGTCTTCTAGGTTCTTCACGTCGTTCCAGGATATCGCTGTCTTCTCGTTTCCCAATGTCTGACGCGTAATCCGGTCCACCACAATTAGGAATATCACTGGTGATAATAAGCACCCTTGTCTTACTCCTGTGTTTACTCCAAACGCCTCACTGAGTTTTCCGTTGTGGATCACTTGACATGTGCTGTTGTCGTACAGCTGTTGAATAAGGTTGATGAATATTTGCGGTACGCCGTAGTACTTGAGTAGTTTCCAAATTAATTCGCCGTCAACGCTATCGAAGGCCTTCTCAAAGTCTATGAAGTTGAGGTAGAGCTTTGATTGCCATTCCATGCTTTGTTCGATGAAGATGCGTAGAGTTGCAATTTGGTCGGAACATGATTTGCCTTTCCTGATTTCTTCTGTTAATCACCTTAAAATCAAGTAGTTTGGTATTTTCGTTATCTGAAATATAAACCTTTAAGATAGTCTATATGTACACACGACTGTAAGTCAGACGAATAATTCAATTGTCCGCCTGCATCTCACAAAGTACACATCATATGTGTTTATGTAGTATGTGTGTCCAAGTTTCTCAAATGAAATATTATTTACTTCTGTTCCGTTTATGTTTTATAAGAGGCAGTTTTTTTAAATTTAAAATTTTTAAGAAATTTCTGATCTTTAGTTGGTTGGCGGATTTTTACATGGGTTGACATCGGTTAAAGAACCATTGGAAAACCCCAGATGGGAGTATTGGACAGCTGTTTCGTCAGCCTAGTTTGGGACTCTTCAACAGTGCGCACCCAGGACCTCATGGTTACAAGGCGAGCTCGCAGACCATTCAAACATTGGCACTCGATCCGATGACCAACCCATAAATTCTAACTTCTGCCAAGCCGTGACCAGTAGGCTACAGCAGATCGAAAGTGAAGACAGTTGCTTATCTAAGAAGACGTTGCTAAGTGGTCGCGCTCTGTCGTCAATTGGTAAAAGTTAGAATTCATGCACTGGCCATTGGATCGGATTCCAGTGGCTTAACAGCCTTCAAGCTTGCCTTGTAACCAGGAGGTCCTGGGTGAAGAGTCCCAAACTAGACTGACGAAACAGCTGTGTAGTACTCCCTGCAGGTTTTCCACTGGTTCTCTAACTGACGTCAACTCATGATGAAATCCTCCAACCAATCAAACCAAAAATCCCTACAAACACCAATACTTGCAGATTTTTAGTTGTGTTAATTTACATGGAACTATCCTCTTTTGTGTTTTTTTTAAAAATTAATATCTTTATGTTTAATGATAAAGTGAGTTGTATAAAATCAATTTTCACTATTATTATTATTATCGTTATTATTAATTATTATTATTATTGGTTAGACGGAATCGGAATACTAGTGCTAGTTCAGAGGATAGACGATATCTAGTGACCAATAAACATGAACGTGATACCAAAGCATTATCTATGTATGATGGTAATGATGATATGTTGGTTTCAAGACAAAATGAACTAATTAACTATCCACAAAAATCATCTACATTAAAATCGAATGCCTCATCATCACGATACTATGAAGCATCTACTGGACCATCTGGTTATACAGTATTCTGGAGATCAGCATGTGATGGTGATATGTCTGAGATATATCGATTAAATCAGTGTCAAAGTCCACCAGGCGGAGGAGGAGGTCAACACCAATCTTCGTCTATGTCAACATCATTTCGAAAAACGCATACTGTAGCACCACCATTACCGCCTGCTTTACCGCCTTCTTCTCTATGCTTACCGCCTAATCTGATAAGACGTGGTCGTCCGTCGTCGGGACCATCTTCAGCCTATTATGGTGATGATGATCGTTCTGTACATACTATAACATCTACTGGTGGTCGGGCACCGCTACATCCGACTGCATGGAAACCTGGTGGAGTGGCAATATGTCCAACAAATCGTGAAACTATTCCATTATTAAACAGACATCCAATGGCACCAAAATTTCATGATGACGAGCAAGTCTAGATTATTGATTGATTGATTCGTTGGTTGGTTGATTTGGTGTGGTTTTGGAGCATTTTTTAGTTGTATTTCAGTTGCGTTTTGACTTTAACAAAATCAACAACTCCTCCTGCTCCTTCTCACCGTGTTGTGTGTTTCTTAACTGGCGTACGGTTAAATCTACTCTTGCAAGATTTCGTTCACTAAATATAAACACAAACACACACACACATTCACAAATACACAGAGTATTATCACCTGTCTGACACTACACTGGTGTACTTTCTGTCTAAATGTTACCGTGCACTGAGGTGGTTTATTGCATACGTATATGTTTATATATGTATAACTATTTTCACATAAAAACCTAACAATTCATCGCTCTGTGTAATTAATTGTCAGTTTTTTCAAATGAGAGTAATTGCCTGCTAGTATTCTAACAGAGTTTCCTCTGCCTTCTCTGTTGTTCTTTTTTATTTTTCTAGCGCTAAGGAGACCACCTACCTGCCAGGTAATTCAGTGTTGCCTTTTTTTCGCCTCTTTGCTTTGTTGTCGTTGTTGCTTCATCATCAGGTTCTATTTTTTTCGTGAATATACCGCCAACTGCTTAAGACTTTTGTGTTACGTCGACGTAAAATGAAGGTTTTAAACAGTTGACTGTCTCTCTCTCTATTACTTCTGTTTAATTTCATCATAGATGTAGGACTTGTGTTTAATGAAGACTCTCTTGATGACACACTATCTCAAATATTACATGTTATCTAAAAATTTTGTCTTGACATCTGTTGTCCCAGAGAAACACTCTACACATCAGATTTGACTGTTTCTCTTCCCCTCAACTTAAAAGCTTTGCAGGTAAAAAGGAAAAGTTATATAAAATGAAGGATAATACTGGTTTGAAAAGAATTAACATCATAATCAAGTGTGAAAAGAAACTCTGAAGAATAGGAGCCCAAACCGAAACGACCTACGAACGCACAAATGACCTTGTCAAGAACAACTTCGACCAATCAGAAGGCTCAGAAAAAACGGCGCATAATTGTAAAAAATCGTTTATATAAAAGTAATGCAATGTTAAAAAAATAGTTACAATGGATAACGTTCTCGTATATGTTGCAAAAAAGCTCCCAATTTCTCATAGGTGTCTTCATACTGATGTTAAACCAAGTTCTATACATAAACTCATCAAGATAACTGTATATCATTGGATTTCTAGATCCATTCACCAATCTAATCCGTTTTTTAGGTGACTCCAGAAACTTTCGATTGAATTAGTATGAGTTCCATCCAAAGGATTGCGAAAACCGTTTGTGTGGTTGACTACATGATGAATATACCCGAGATTCGACAATTGACCGTAACTGCTCCATTCGTCTGTGTGAATAGTGGTCCCAGGCAGCACTAAGCGCTGGATAATAGGCAATAATACACCTGCACTGCGATTAGGAATCGACTCGATATATCCTTTTCGGAGGGTGGTGTCATAGATACCCAATATCCATTGTTGGTTTGCTCGTAATCTGCCACGATTATATTTCCTTTTTATTAATACAGTCTCATCAATTTGAACGATTACACCAACTCCTCCAAGAACTTGAGTTAGGCTGTTCATTTTCCAGGACGATGTGTCTCTGCAGTATTGATACCACTGCACTCCAGACACTTCTGAGTTTTCCGTTTCATAAGCAGTTGCTGTAACTGGTCTGTGTAGTATCCAGAAATTACAGATCATTAAAATTTAGACTTTGAGAAAAAAGTGTCTAAGTAATCTGTAAACTAAAAAAGTACGACATACCCTCTCGAACTGATTTTCTCCTCCGGCACTCATTACAGCTGTACACAAACCCATCAATGGACTTTGCGTATTTTGTATACGCATATCACCTCCGCACTGACAAATTTTCGACCTTGCAATCAGTCCCTTATCCAAACAGTACTAAAAAACAAGATCCGGAGCGAATTTACAACACCAAAGGTGTAGAGCATCCATAATTACTTCTAGAAACAACACAGTCAGCTGATTGTTTTCTCAAGGTCGTTTGTGCGTTAGTGGGTCGTTTCGGTTTGGGCTCCTATTCTTTAGAGTTGCCGTCTGAAATGTATAGGTTGAATCCAATTTATAGCCAGTTTATATCCTGTAAAAATGCCACTCTAATATATGGAAACTTTTGAAAGAAATTACTAGTGGTAAGCAGATGAATAGTATTCCTTATTCATTTTATATGTGTACACTAAACAAGTCTTTCATACATTCTCCCATAAATGCCAAACTTTCTAGTGTCACATGTGTTAATGAAACCGGCTTCCCTGGTTTCAATATAAATGATGTTCTAAAATGTCTCCAGTCGCTGAACCCTTCTTGTAGCCTAGGTCCAGATGGTTTGCCTACCCTTATTATTAAAAAATGTGCAGATATCCTGTGTTATCCTTTCATGGACTTATTTAATGAATGTTTTTCCAGAAATGTCGTGCCAGCCGTTTGTGAGGACATTAAAATTGTACCTATACCTAAGTCGTCTACTGGAACATGTTTTAAATTTAGACCTATTGCTATTACCTCTCGTTTTCTAAAAACTATGGAAAAGTTACTCTTAATTAATCCTCAACCTTCACTTGAAGCCTTTAACTATCCCAAACAATTTGCCTATAGACGTAGAAGAAGTACTTTATATACAGCTGCAATCTTGCATCATAACATTGTCTCCAGTCTAGACAAGGGGGCTAAATTTGTTCACTGCACCTTCCTAGATTACATATCTGCTTTCGACTCAGTACCTAAGGATATTTTGTTAAACAATCTTGCTGATACTCAAACTGAGCGTTGGGTTTTCAAATGGCTGTATTCTTATTTCTCAGGAAGAAAGCAGCACACTGTATATCAGGGGAAGTCGTCCACTTCATTGCTTACTGAGGCTGGTGGCCTTCAAGGCTCTGTTCTTTCTTCTTTTCTGTTTGCCTTCTTCTTGCATGACTTGCCTAATTCTCTGATAAAATGAACTTTTTTAAGTATGCGAACGATCTAACTATTTCAGTGTCTGTTAACTCCCAGCTAAACTGTACTAAGATGAATAGCTTTCTATCAGGAGTTAGCAAATGGTCTTCGTCTAATGGTCTTAAACTAAGTCCTTCCAAATGTCAGAATGTTAATTTGAGTTTTCGATGTAAAAGAAAGTTAAATGAAGCCGTAGGTTCCTATGACTGTTGTAAAGTTGATGATAGTGATATAGAAATCAAGTCTGAAATTAAGTACCTTGGATTAATTCTTTCTTCTGATCTATCCTAGTCTTCCTATGTCTTAGCGATTTCTAAAAGAATATTTCGTCTGAGCTCCTGTATGACTGTACCGGATACTTCGATTGGACACTAGTAACTAGTGTGATGTGTCTAGTTCTTTCTTTGGTGATTCTGGTTCAAATCTCAGAAGGAGGGACACGAGTTCCTTCAAGGTTGCAGATGCGCCTTGCTGACTGACTGGTGAGTGCCAACTAGCACGAAACCTAGGTCAAGCAAGGCTTCCTGTCGATTGCCCCCAACTATCTAATATCATCAAATCAATGTGCACCGTAATGGCGAGCTACCTAGAATGGTGGCCACATTGCAAACCTGACTGATAGAATTCAATCTGCATCAAACACCAAGGACTAGACACGTCACACTAGTTACTAGTGTCTAATGTTTATGATGATATCTTTAGACTGTAAGCAGTTGATGAGATGCTAACGAAATAAACAATGATAGTACCACTTTATTCTGTATAAATCACTGTTTTTCTTACTTTCTTCAAGATCTTTAAGGAGAATAAATGGATGAAGTCATAGTCTTTATTTTCATTAGATTTTCGGATTATTTTATTTCTATTTTTTCATTTTTTAAAATCTAGGTGATGGAATTTTACGCTTTTACATTCGTGGACGTCCAGTTAATGTGTATATGCCTACAGAAGTTATGACAAATTATGATTTATCAGTTCCACTGAAAGCGCCGGATATGACATTGAAATTAGAATGGATGTATCCTTTCACTAATAATAATAATTCTAATGATTTTGAAATAATAGAGAAGATTTGTAGCTCAGGTGGATGATTTGCAATTAATAGTGTTCTCTCAGCTGGTTGGTTTAGTTGCGAAGCTTTCGTCGTCCTTCTGGACAACATCTTCAGCGCCAACTAACCAACTAATAAAAAGTAAATCAGGTGACCAGAAAGTTTAAAATTCAAGTCAATAGAAAATGGTCAATACATATGTAACGATAGTTACCAGGAGACGCAATTATATCACTCATGAAGAAATTTAAATCATTTCACTTTGTACTAAATATGGCGCTGAAGATGTTGTCCAGATGGACGACGAAAGCTTCGCAACTAAACCAACCAGCTGAGAGAACACTTTTCATTGCAATTCTAATGATTTTATGTTATTTGAGACTGGAACGATGGGATATGAGTAAACACACACTCAACTATTACCTTAGTGTTGTGCATTTTGTGTACAGCTGAGAATCAGACAGTTAAACCTACTTTTCAGTTGAATATCATTCCAACATATGTATATATTTTAACTGATTAAAAATGCCCATTAAAATTTTCAAAAGAATAGACACGGAACAAAGAGTACTCTTTTCGATAAATTCATCATCAGGTTCTACATAGAAAAGTACTTGGACGGGACAATATACACACTTTCACAGCTTCGTTCCTACCAATTACAAAAGAAATTTAGTGAAGACCTTTAGCCACAGAGTTAGAGCTATATGCTCTGATGAAGTAATTAAAGATGAATTAAGCATGGTATATGATACTTTAATCGAAAATGGTTATCCTGACAGATTTATCAAGAAACATATGACAAAGAAAGCCGAAATGGACTACCCAATATCTGTTAACAAGAAGCCACTTTATATACGACTACAATACATGGGCGATAAACCAAGCGAGTTAATTACGAAAAAATTAAGAAAATCGGTTCGAAGAGCTTTTAATGCTGGCGAACTACACGTCTTATTCTCTACACGACCGGTGGTGCTACCTCGACTGAAAGATGAAGTACCTAGACTAGCCACTTCAAATTGTATTTATCAATTCAACTGCGCTTGTGAGGTGAGCTATACTGGCCGTCGCTCTGGGAACTTCATTTTTCGTGCTCACTCGAGAACATATCCCACTATGGCTAAGTAAAGGTGTATTTAAAACTATTAACAGCTCGATATTAGACCATCTGGTGCAAACCGGTCACAAAGCCAGCCAGCGTGGAAGAATCCTTCTCTATAATATACCAGGTGCCTAATAAATTGCCAAAATCATCGAAGCACCTCATGCTCCAAACAGCAGAGGCTATTGCAATTCGCTTCAAACAACCAGTGCTTTGTGTGCAGAAGAAACAAGTCCAGCCAGCCAGTACTACTGCCCTGGCTCTCAGTAGAGACTATAAACTCATGAATTTGTAATATTATCTTTCATAATTCTTCTGACATTCAGTTTATTTTATGTTGATGCCGTTCAGCTGTAATCTATCAATATTACTGATTTGATGTTATTTAAACATTAATGTCGTTCTTAAGATTAATTAATTCATTCATTCGCTATAATGTATACATAATTGTAGAGCTTGATGATGAATTTATCGAAAAGAGTACTCTTTGTTTCGTGTCTATTCTTTTGAAAAAATATATATTTGTTATTGGCCTCAAGTAATGGGCAGGTGGTTGAGAACTTGGTTACCACCGGGTAGAGCAAGCTCTAAGCCAAACAAAAACACTTTTTGTGTTCCACAGATGATGAAACTATCCACTTGTTTAGACTGACGTAGGTGTAACAAGATCCCACCTGAGGATCCATTGACTGGAAGTCGAGCGTTTAAACCGATTCATCAGTATTAAGAGGTACATACTGTGATAAGGCTGGGTCTACCTTTGGAGGCTTAAAAAAAACTACCCTATCAATAATTTATTAATTCAACTCATTAGGTGAAAAGTAGTAAGGCGTTTGTTTCGAGGCTTGATAATGCTTGCAATATTGTATTTATTACTTTCTCATGGTTCGCTAAATGTTGGGGAGTTGTTCTACACACTACCTATTGCGAAGCATTGAAATCCCCTTTTCCTGACCGTAAACTAACTGTTTACATTTTTAATACTTTTTACTGTCAATGGGAAGACAAAGCCGAGGACATGAATTGGTTAAAAATGAGGAGCTATATGATGTAATATGATTGAAATCAGCTGTTTCGTCTCAGTTTGGGACTCTTCAGTAGTATGCACTCAAAACCCTACTGGGAATCGAACCCAAGACTTATTGGGTTATATGACGAGCTGGTTAACCATTGAGCCACACTGGGGTAGAATCTAATGGTCCTCATGAAATCTAAAATCTGTTAATCCGCGAGTTTTCAGCGCCACCGTCGGTTAATACCACCTGTTCACCGTGAAAGTTCAGTAGAGATTTAATTAGCTGACTTTCAGCCAGTAGATGTCAGGTTCTAATCCTACTCGATCTACTTAGTGCTGGTTAATTGGGTGGCATTGTGACGTGTGCTACTGATACAAATTTTCAGTAGTATATAAAGAGACATTCATCGGCATAAAAACAAATCAAATAGCAGGGAGATAGATCTGATGTCAGAGAAAGCAAATGACGATACAGCGTTTCGGAGATCCATGGGAGATGTGAAAGGAACACAAAGATACACACAATGTGAAGGAAAGGCAGAAGTAGTACAACACGGCAGATCTGTGCAAATGACGCGTTGAAGAAGATAAGGTGTACACACATAATTCGGCTATATATAGAGATACCAAATTTCAAATAAACATTCCTTTACCAAATCTCCGTCTTCTACCGTTAGAGTATCATTAGTGATGACACATAAAACCTGAGTCCGAATAGCTCAGTGGAAACGTCTCTGACTGCAGCTCTCACTGAGTGACGCGGGTTCGAATCTCAGAAGGGACATGAGTTCCTTCAAGGTTGCAGATTCGCCTCACTGACGAGTGCCAACTAGCACGACACCTAGGTCAAGCAAGGCTTCCTGTGACCGATTGCCTCCAACCACCTAATATCATCGAATCAATGTGCACCGTGATGGCGAGCTACCTAGAATGGTGGCCACATTGCAAACTTGACTGATAGAATTCAGTTTGCACCAAAGAAAGGACTAGACACGTCACAATAGTTACTGACTAGTGTCCAGTCAAAAACACATAAAACCTATTCCAGCTAACTGAGAGTTAAAACTTGTAGTACTACTTGTCTAGATATCATCGATAAAGGTCTTCTCATATATTAAATGACACCTTTACGACAGGTCAATGTTTTTAGTTATTTAACAAATATATATCTGTGGTACCAGTTCTCTCATATTAATCACCAGAATTCTCCAAGATTTAAGCTTATTCTGAACGTAGTCTGACCAGAGAGAGTGTACTCCGTTGATGAGATCAATACCGAACGACTAGTCCTGCTTGAAATGCTTACCTCCCAATCTACTCGTATCAGCTAGTTAAAATAGAAATTGTTGCTTGCTTGCTTGGAATTTTCTTTCTTTTGTATTCCTGAAAGCTTTTTCCTTAATTACTCTACTACTCATATAATGCTACTATTCACTGGCGGTGTTTAGTTATGGTTATCGTGGACGTGACTGTCGAAATAATCTGCATTATTTACCTACTGGGGAATTGATTTATTTTGTTGCAGCAACTGTTGTTCTCTACAATATTGAAGAACAATGTCAACGACATTATTTAGAGCATACAGATGATGTCAAATGGTAGGTAATCAATCATTTTGATGCATATATATGTAACCGTTTTTCTTTCCGTTCATTTACTGTTGGTGCATACCTTTTTTTATTTATGCGCCATTAGGCGATTCCTTGTGAAGATATGCCTTTATTGGCCTTAAGTACTTGAAGGGTTTCAGTCCCGCCTTGCCTAATTCAGCTTTCACACAATAGTTGTATGGCTACTGGCCTGGTACATGAGTAACCTATTCCAGATATTCAGCGAAGAGACTCTTTTCAACGAATTTATTATCAAGCTGTACAATCGTATACATATATGGTTTTTTTAAAGAAATTATATCGTGTGGGGGAATTAGGTCAAAGGTGTGAATACATGGAACAATAATAATAGTAGTATGAAATGCAATTAAAATGTTTGTGATTATAATCATGGTTAAATGTCAAGTGGCAAAATAATTAATGTCATATATAGAATAATACATAAGGTGTACAGAATTTTGGAAAGGGGTACATAATTATAAGATTAGCAGACGAATATAAAATGTTACATAACATGGTGTGAAATTTGATAAGATAGAATTCAATATTGTAAAAATAAAAGTATAAAAATTAATAATTTTGGGTTTAAAATGTCAAGTGGAAAAGATTCAGAGTGAGAACAGTAATAATAATAATGATAATAATAATATTAATAATAATAATCGTAGTAATAAGGGAAAAGTACATAGAATAACTAAATAAATAAATGTCTATCCCTCTATGGCCAAGGCAGAAGTAGGGATTGTACATACTACTTTTGTACACAAAGGTTTGGCTTAAAGTCATGAATTGCCAAGGCCCCAGCTGTCTTTAGAAGTCTGCAACGAAGAAAACGTTGGAAGTTAGCATGGATTCTGTATATGATCTTAAAATGATGGTCAGGGTTAACAGAGTGACAGAAGTCGATCGGGTGTTCCAAAATAGAGCTTCGCACACACTTCCTTTCTCCCTTGTAAAACCATGCTGGAATATGTTCTCGTATCCGTGTGGAAAGCGTCCTCTGACTACGGCCAATGTACCTTGCTCCACAAGAGCAGGTGAACTGATAGATGCACATGGAGGCGGCCAGACCGGAGGAGCTTATCTTTAACAGAGGTAGAGAATAACTTGCGGCTAGTGAACGTCATATGTAATTTTGCTGCATAGAACGTCTTACTGACTGATTTAGAGAGACGATTTTTGAGCATATCTGAAGCTTGATCACCTTTGAATTCCAGGTTCATGAATAAGGTTTTCTTTGGAACTGTGTCGGTGACCAGTTTAGACTGCTTATCTTTCATGTTGCTGTCAATAAATCGGTTAGGGTAACCGTTTTCTGCGAGGGTGGCTTTTAAGAAGTCAAGTTCTGAGTCAACGGAATCAGAACTACAAATTTTCCTTATCTTAGAGCAGAGCCAATGAATTAGGTTGTCCGTTCCATGTACGTTTCCTGTGGATAGATCTTTATTTCATGTTTTCACACCTTTGACCTAATTCCCTCACCGGATATAATTTCTTTAAAAAAAACCACATATATACGATTGTACAGCTTGATAATAAATTCGTTGTTGAAAAGAGTCTCTTCGTTGAATATTGTGTTCTTAATGCTACAATGGGAATTATTAAACTATTCCAGATAACCAAGTCGAAACTGACTTACTGCATTAATTATTGCTAACAAATTTGAATTACTGTTGTTATTCGATAAAGCAGTTCAAATTGAATCAATACTACTGTTAATATCTGTATTATGTATTTGATATAATGAGTCGTTGATTCAACAGGTAGAATGCTCGCTGGCAATGCGGGAGGTACGGGCTTGACTCCTCACGGATGCACTCTTAAATCTCACCTACATTTTGCTAGCCAGTGAGAGAAAACCATCGAAGAAGGATCATTTGAGCGTGAGATTAGTTATTTATACCCAGTGAAAACGAAACTCTAAAGCTTCACTGTTACGTGTGTGTGTGTGAGTGTTCCTCTTTTAAGTTAGTTATTCACACTCGTCAGCTAGAGCTCTGAAGTTTCGTTAGCAGTAGTGTTTACCTTTACGGGATGGGGTTGCTAGTTTCGTGTCCAACCTTTCCTTTTTACCCGTCTTATCTACTGACTTGGCGAGGTAAAGGAGTACGTCAGCTGGGGATCGAACCCCAGGCCAGGTATGCATTCTACTGTTAAGTGACCAACGTACTCCTATAGGATATAGTCGGATGGCAAATGAACTCCTTGAAGAGGTGCCTCGATAATGTTATGATTATTGAATCAGGATTACTTGTTCCGATGTTAGCTGTCGGTAGAATCCATGACTTGCTGACGAGTTTCAAATAGAACGAAGCGAGCTTCGTTCGTAGATTCCAAACAAAGTAGTTGTACAATTCATTAGATTTATCTGTTTTACTGTGTGTGATACGACGAAATGAACATTTCAGTCGTGTCTAGGTTAACGATTTCCTGTCTGTATAGCTTACTCAATAACCTATAATCATGTCCTATTCACTTATAGATATAGATATATCTTCTATTCTTTGTGCCTATATTGTTGTTTTCATTTTTTTTAAAAAGAAGCAGTATTGATTGTCTGTCTGGTTCCCTTGATTTGATTCTCTTTTCGTCTATATTATTATTATTTTGATATTTAGTTGTATATATAGAGAGAATAACACCCTAATTGAAGTTAATGATAGTGTAAATATGTGTCTTATGAGAGATTAATCAATTTCTCACGAAACCTTGCAGTACATGTTTAGTAGCATTGTTGGAGTTTAATGAATGGTTTTAATGTGTTCATGCATCGGGGATTCAGTGATTGATAGAATGGTAGCCAGCCATGTGGTTGGTTCAGCCAGTCCCTCTCCTAAGCCTTGTCCAACTGGTGGTAGTAGGCCTGGAAAAGTGGGGTGGTGGTTGAGCGTGAGACTAGAGTTCCCACTCCCCCATGAAAACAACATCTCTCTACCTAAAGAATGATATTTAACTCAATCTAGATTTTCCCGTCGATTGATTTGACCGAAGTGCTCGGTCTCAGGTTGACATGTTGTCTCCTTGTGCGGATGCTTCGACGATATCTGGTCATGTAACTCGAGGTCAGTTGGTGGATGGTGGCTATCAGTAGAATCCATTCAGGATGTGCATTTCGTCCTACTTGAGACTAGTCAGCTGGATGTGCCTGCATTCCCCAGTGAGTAAGGGTTTTCCCACCGAGGCTCGAACCTAGCGCCCGTGGTTTCAAACGCCAAAGCGTTATCCACTAGACCACTCTAGCCACGAGAGCCACTTCTTTTTCGACTCCTCTTATTAATCATTTAGATTTTTCTGTCAGTTAAATGGACCTAAATGCGCATCCTGGATTCCACTGCCAGTCACCTTCCATCAGTTGACTTAGAAAATGATGATTGAAAGTGCAACGAAAGTCTTGATCGCTACAGAATTCATACGAGGTGGACTCTGAATCGCTGCTCTGCCACACTCTACCAGCTAACCTACCAGACCCAACTGCTAACTGGGTCACCATTTCATTACCATCATAGCGACCTATATCAAACTGTGTATCATTATTAATATGATTATCATTATTCCTTTGGGTTCTTAGTGGAACATAGGGCTTCAGCAGAACATCACCGTTTCGTCCTCCTCCTTACAGTCACCATCAGCTGGCTTCCACAATTGCTCATAAACTTTCATCTCTTCGACGTCACACTCGGAGACTCAAATAATCGTTTCCTACTTGGGTTTCACTCAAGTGAACGTCTTGACTCACGATGTCACCCGATGGTCTCTTCAGTGTGCGTCCGATACATCTCCATTTTCTTTGGAATATTTGTTGAGCAATAGGTTCTTGACTGGTTAGTTCCCAGAGTCCCTTGTTGCTAGTTATTTCTGGCCTTGTGATCTTCACTATGGAGCCAGAAAAGACAGCTGTAGATAAAAGTTTGCTGTAGCATGTTGTAAAAGCTTTTGGTGACTCGCTGGCCAAGTTCCTGATCCATGTAGAAGAAGTGACTAACTTAACATTGGTTCTGAAAATTGGAATTTTGTTGTTTATATGCTGAGTTCAGTGCAGAAGATTTCCAAACTGACTTCAGGTTGATGAAAGCGTATCTTGCCTTTTTGATTCTTCATCCTTTCTGCCTAAGATTGAAATGATGCTTCTCAGCCAGATAATTGAAGCCATATCATTAATTTCAGCGTCGGTGGCATAGCGTTTAGGACGCTATGCACATGGTTTGGGGTTCGATCCCCGGCCGATGCACTCCTTTAACTCGCTAAGCCAGTAATAAGACTGGCAGAGAAGGAAGGTTGGGCATGAGGCTAGCAACCCCATCCTGTAAAATAAACACTGCTACAGAAACTTCAAGCCACTAGCTTGAAGCCCAATGTTCCACTGGGGAACGTGAAGGGAAAAAATATCATTAATTGTCTCCAGCCTTCATTAGTTCTTACCATCCCGTGAACCCCAACCAGCCGCGGAGACGTCTACACCTCCCTACGTGACCCACTGGTTTAAACTAACTTTTATGGATTTCTTTGACTGATGAAGCCATGTTTCCGTTCGACAACCGCTACCTCTTCTCCAGCCTTATCGATCCTATGTCAGCCAACATTTCCCATCCAGGAAGGAGATCACCCGCTAGGGGGATGGATGCCTGACTCATGTCTTAACCATCTGAGTTGATGTTAACTTCACAATATCGTCTCTTGATTTCCCCTCCTTCCTTTCCTAGCACTCGACCGAAGCCTAACTTACTCAACATTGCTCAGCAACAGAGATCTCTGGGAGCGAACCAACCAGGAACCCATTGTGAAACAAATAGGCAGGAAGAAATGGAGATGAATTGGCCATACTCTGAGGAAACCATCAAGTGACATCACTAGACAAGCCATTGCTCGAGTGGAACCCGAAAGGGAAGCGGCGAGTTTGTCGTCAGTGCAAGGGTGACTTGGAGGAGGTCATGTGAAGAGGAGATGAAAACGTGTGGGCAGACTTGGAGCCAGGTGAAGACTCTAGCAGA